CCCAGAACTGCAGGATCCAGATACTAGACACAAGATTTGGTGCTATCCCTGCTGGGCTTCAGCTTTGCTTTGGGGAACTGTCCATTTGCTATAGACCCCTGGCCTTTCATTTTACAATAAGAAAGTTTATTTCTTCCATTGTATGTTGACAGTATAAAACTTGCTTGATTTTATTTGAGCTCAAAGTTGGGAGAGTTTGGACTTTCAAAATAGATTTTTTTGAGTTTTTTGTTTTTTTGGAGATAGCTTCTGGCTATTCTGAAACTCTCTCTCTAGACCATGCTGGCCTCAAACTTGGAGATCCTCCTGCCTGTCTCCCAAGTGCTGGAATTAAAAGTATGTGTCGCCACCTCCCAGCTAAAGTACTGGAGTTAAAGATTATGGTGTGATGGTTGATTTTATGTCAACTTGACACAAGCTAGAATCATCTAAGAGGAGAGAAGTTCAATTGAGATATTCCTCCATAAAACTGAGCTGTAGGCAAGCCTGTAGAGCATTTTAAGTTAGTGATTGATGGGGGAGGGCCCAGCCCATTGTGGGTGGTACTATCCCTGGCTGGTGGTTCTGGGTTCTATAAGAAAGCAGGGTTGGCAAGCCAGGAGGAACAAGCCAGTAAGCAGCACCCCTCCACAGCCTCTGCATCAGCTCCTGCCTCCAGGTCTCTGCCCTGCTTGAGTTCGTTTCCTGACTTCCTTTGATGATGATCAATGGTGTAGAAGTAAAAGCCAAAGAAACCCTTTCCTCCCCAAGTTGCTTCTGGTCATGGCATCTTACCACAGCAAAGTAACCCTAAGAAAGACACTAAGGGAACTTTTATAAGTTCAACTATAGTTTATGAGATAAGCATGATGCCTTGGGACAAGGGGTGGAAGGTTGTGGCTTAAAGTGATCCATTGGTGAAGCTGACAAGAGGCACAGTCTGATGGTTATTGTTTTTTAGAAAGGGTCTCACTATGGAGCCCTGACTGACCTCGAACTCGCTCTGTAGACCAGCCTGGCCTCAGCTCAGAGAGATCTGTCTGTCTGCCTTTACCTCCCACGTGCTGGGATCAAAGGTGCTCACTACACCCTTCTGATGGCTACTTGTCAGGTAGATTGTCACCATGGTTGTCTAGATAACGTTGGGGGGATTATCTTGACTACTTTGAGGTGGGAAGGCCCTCAGCATGGCAAGCGCCACTCCCTGGGATGTGTGTGCTGGATGGTCCTAGGTCTTGGTCCTGGGTTGTACAAGAGGGGCCGAGCACAAGCAAACGCGTACACATTTCTTCTCCCTCTGTTCTTGACTCGGTAGGATTTAGCTCGGTAGGATTTAACCCTTCTTTGACTTCGTTGTGATAACCAAACAAATCCTTTCTCTCTTGAAGCTGCTTTTGTTTTATCACAGGAACTGCCAACTCAACAGGATCTAAAATAACCTAGAAGACAAGCCTCAACAGGGTCTCCGGGGTGGGAAGACCAACTGTCACTGTGGGCAACACCATCCCAAGGGCTGGGATCCTGGACTGAAGAAAACAGATGGGCACAAGCATCCCTCCTCTGCTCCTGGCTGAAGGCAATGTGACCCATGGCTCGGGCTCCTGGACCACAAGCTGGAGTAAATCCTTCCTTAGGGGCTCTGGTATTCATTACAGCAACAAGTATCTAGCACAGCTAAAGCAGGGAAAGGAGCGGGATGGTGGTGGATCTGTGAGTTCAAGGCCAGTCTGGTCTACAAGGGAAGTTCCAGGCCAGCCAGGGCTACAGAGAAATCCTGTCTTAAAAAACAAACAAAAAACAGGGAAAGAAAAACATGAGTTTAGGACTTCAACTCCCAGCACAAAACCACGGGATGACTTAATGTCTGCCCTGGAAAGGGGCTTGCTCAACACATTCCCGGGTGTCTGATAGTGTTTGAGGTAGCAAACGCCTTCTCAGTACCTGTTTATGAAGACCAGAAGCGTTTGGACCCGTCAACACCAGCACTCTCATTGGCCTCCATCTAGGGACTAACTCTCCAGCTCTGTCATCATTTAGGTCACAGGAACCCTGTCTCTCCCTTCCACCAAATGGCCCACTCCATGGGTGACATGGTACTGACAGAACCAGTGAGCACAAAGTACTAGTAAGATATCTGCATATCGCAGGAAATCCAGGAAATGCTAATACAGCAGACTTTAGTGGAATTTCTGGAGGTTCAGTAGCCTGGGTGTGTGGGCTCTTTGGATTTCAGAGTCCACATCTTTGTCACTTGTGGCCTGGAGGTGCAGTGCAGCAGCAGACTGCTTGCCTATTATGTCCGAGGTCCTGGGTTCATTCCAGCATCACCAAAAATGATAAATAGCAATAATTCACCATTTGTGAGTGGCCTACTAAGTGTGCCTCTCACTGAGTCCCCACAACTGCTAGATTTGAGGCCATCCCAAGAGAGGCATCTCTGCGCCAGGTCTGGGCTGTGGTTCACGCTGCTGTCACTGTTTGTAGCAGGCAGTGCCAGTGACAGAGAAGCCGAGCCCTGAAGCCCCACCCAACAGGAACTTTTCTTGTTTGTATATTTGCTGCACGCCTCTTTGGTTCCTCCCTTGTCACCTACCGTAAGTGTACTCATAACAGCTAACTTCGTCACACGGAAGTGTGCGGACAGAGCAAGAGAGAACAGCACCCAGGGGTTCTTACCCATTCCCAGTTGTACACAGGGTGGCTGTGCTGTGGCAGGCAGCAAAGCAGCAGTTTCCCGCTGTAGAGCTGGGTTTAAGGAGCTGTGTGGGGAAAGACACACACTGAGATGGCCATCTCGTTGAGCTGGCTGAGCTTCAGTTATTTCAAAACTGCAGGTTGCTGTGAGGAAGCCATTTGGTAGATGTGACTTAGAGCTAACAATAACAAAAGAGATTATCCTGGAGAGCAGAGCGCCACCTATCCGAGGACTGTCCTTCCTCACAGCCTGCCCCAAGCCAGCAACTGCATAAAAAAGCACTTCCTTGCAAGGGACTTAGGTGATTAATAGACAAGACAAACTACTAGTACTGTTGGCTGTTTCTGGAGTAAACGTGACTTTTATACAAATCAAGAGAAAATCTTGCTTCCCTGGAAAGTTGGTTTTCACTAAAATCAGAGTAGGCACTGAACAGACCTGGCCAGTCCCAGGATTTCGAAGGATTCTGTTGGAGTCAAGCGGAGACTCAAGGCCACTCTCCTCAAATAGTGTTTAGTGTGTACAGGAGTATTACACAGCCACTTTTAATGATGCCCATTACCAGCTGGGTGGTGGTGGCGCCAGCCTGGTCTACAAGAGCTAGTTCAGGACAGGCTCCAAAAGCTACAGAGAAACCCTGTCTCAAAAAAAAAAAAAAAAAAGCCCATTACCAACTGCTTCCAAAAGGTTGGAAATACCAACTATCCTAACACCAACTGTGGCTAAGGCAGGGAACCACTGGCTGCTGAACAGAGGTAAAGGGGAAAATTCCCCTTCTGTCATTCCGAGTATGGAGTCTCATGAAGAAATCTCGATTGGGGGATGGCCAAGTGTGGTCAAGTGCAGCCTCATTGTCAGTTAAAGGCTCCCCAGAATCGTAATGCTCACCTACTTACTATCACTGCTTTCGGCTACGATGGCAATGCAGATGTGGCAGTTACATACAACTGCAACATACCCACACCAAAATGTGGGCACAAATGCTCAGTTTACAATAGTAACAACAACAAAAAAAATCCTTCAACAGATGAACCCAACGTAGTAAATCTATTTAGTGGACTAGTACTTGGCCAGAAAGATGAGGCATTTGACAAATCATGAAAACACCATGTAGCTAGACTCAACGACCAGCTTTTGGATTGCATGGTTCCATTTGTGTGAAATGTGGACAGGCAAATTCTGAGACACAAAGCAGATTAGTGGGCTGGGGAGGCAGCTCAGTAAAATGCTTGCCACACAAGCATCATGACCTTAGTTTGATTTCCCAGGATTAATGTTTAAAAAACCAGGTATAGTAACTAAAGACATGACTCAGCAGTTAAGAGCACTAGCTGTGCCGGGCGGTGGTGGCGCACGCCTTTAATCCCAGCACTCGGGAGGCAGAGGCAGGCGGATCTCTGTGAGTTCGAGGCCAGCCTGGTCTACAAGAGCTAGTTCCAGGACAGGCTCCAAAGCTACAGAGAAACCCTGTCTCGAAAAAACTTAAAAAAAAAAAAAAAAAAAAAAAAAGAGCACTAGCTGCTCTTCCAGAGGACCCGGGTTCAACTCCCGGGACCCACACTGCAGCTCAAAACTGTAACTCCAGTTCCAGGGGATGCACTGGACTCAGGGACAGAGACTGATAGCAACACACTACAGTGGGCAACTCCTACCCGCTGTAAACTGTTGTCTTTACCAGGTACCCTTCACTTATTCCCAGTGTTCTTGTTCTCCAGAGGGAGGGGACTGACCCCCTTGAGACCCTTCCCAACTGGTTGGGGTGGCCCCATGACTGGGAAAAAGGGCAGATACTGACGCCCCTTTTCTCTACCCTGGCTGTTTCCTCTGCACGAATTCCAGTTCCTAACTTCCTCTCGTGTGGTCCTGTTTTCATTCCCTTCCAGGGCCCCACAAGATGGGACTGATCACCAAGCCCTGCAGAATTAGACCAGACTTACCTGTATAGGTGTCCAGATGAGATCCGGAGCAAAAGTAGATGCTTTGGGCACTATAGTCCTATTATCACAGTTGAAACGTGAACTGAGGCCTTGTCTCGGCATACCCCAAGGCTCCAGCTCTGCCAATCACTAACTAGAAAAGGCTGAGCAACACTGTGGGGTCTTCAGTCCCTTCTTAATCCCTTGGTACCTACCTCACTGTCTCAGAGGCAGTCTTCCCAAGATCCAGCAAATCAGCTTCAAATCTGAAGCCCTGCTGACCTCCATGACCCATTGGTAACACACTCCCATTCTCCTTCACCCTAGGAAACACCACTCTACCCACCATGTAGCACCAACAGCACCAGGCCAACCAACCAAACCTTCACCCCTAAAGAAACCTCAACAGCTCAGAAGTGCATCAATCGACCTTTAATGTCCAAAAGAGGCGTGGATGCAGAGCATAGATGTGGCAGGGTCTCAGTCCCTGCACCAAAAATGAGAGATGAACAAAAACTAGACACTTCCAACTGGCCAGTCTTGGAGGGTAGGGAGAAACACAGATCTGGACATTCGTAAGAAAAATAAAACCTAAAATCAAACATTCAAATCTTGTACCCAATGAAAGGTTTGAACAGGGAACTCAGTCACTACCAGTTCCCACCCTCCCCTGCCAGCACTGAAGAAAAAACAGCTCAATACACACTAAGGGATCAGGAGGAAGGGGCATTCTCCTGCCTTCCCTCACCCCCAAGAATGGGCTGGGGGAGCTAGATTTCCCCCACCCTTACAGTGTCACCCCACTCAACGTTCTGAATGTGACTCATTAGAACCAGCAGCTCAATTGGCAATGACGACCCCCACCCACCCCAATCATGTCAACAGCGAGGTTTCCCTTGCACCCTCTCTGGAAAGTCCTCCCACTCAGTCCTTCACCTCCTGACTCTCAGAGCTTCGTTACTGTACTTCAGACCTGTTTCAAGGAGTTCCCCCTCTCTGCCCTCGTTTCTTTCATTCCCAATTCCCACTAGAAGTTGGGACACAAGTTGCCCCCTGCCCCCAGATCCAACTCCAGGGTGGATGGCAGTAGGGCCATCTTGTCCTGGATGACCTTCCAAAAACATTCCCAGGAACAGGCAGCTATAGGGCAAAGCAGGGTGTCCAAGCTAGATGGCTGAGGGGACACCAACCTGTCATTGCCCCAAAAGGTAACATAAAAGCCCACTTAGAACTCACTGTGCCCCCTACCTCCCCATACACCCTAGAGATTTCACATATCCTGCCCCTTCCCTCCCTTCTACCCCAGACCCACCCCACGCACACAGACAAACACAAACACAAACACACAGGAAGAATCGAGTGGACACTGATTTGGTTGGATCGCTAAGACCTAACTAAGGACTACAGTCACCAGAAATTCCCTTGCCAGCCAACAACAGGGCTGCTCTAAGAGAACTGAGGAATGAGAAAAACGAGGGCTGAGCAGGGAGCAGACAGAGAATGGAAAGGGCAAAGTCAAGCTAATCCTACTCCCAGCATCCTCCCCACATGACCTCTGGCTGGAAGAATAAAGGAAGGTAATCCACAAAGACACAGCCCTTACTTAGAGACCCTGACAAGGACAGCAAGACACATCTGCTCCCCACTCCCACACCATAAACACATCTATCTCAGGGCCTCTTAAAGACTACACCCCACCACCCCTGCCCCAAGCCATAAAGTCACAGTTCTGTGGAATATTCTCCCTGGTACTAGATCAATCCCCCCACCCGACTTCCTATCCCTCTCCTTGCCAATCCTAAAGCTTTCCTCATAGTCTCCGGCCCTTCTAAAGCAGCATCCACCACAAGAATAGGCAGCTGCAGTTTTCCCTCTACCTCCAGAGACCTATTCCAAGTCCTCAGCCTCCTAGTCTCTTGGGCTTTGCTGAGGGCATTTTATACAGGGAGAGAAAGAGAAAATGAGGGGTGGGAGAGAGTTCCTAGTGCAGTACAACCAAAAAAAAAAAAAATCTTTAAAGTCTTAAAAAAAAATAAACATAAAGCAGCCTTCTTCCCCAGGCAACTAAACAGAAAGAAGTTTGGTTTTTGTTTACTGCGACACACACATGAAATCGAGTATACAGTCCATGCAGTAGCACAGCCATTGGAGAGGACTTCCTGATGCTGGCCCCAGTGCAAAACAGTCCCAGCAACGCCGCCTGCTTGCCATTGCTGCTGCCGCCGCCACTGACACCTTCCCCTTGGCCACCTAGCCTGACTTGAAGAGGAGGATTGCAACTTGACCCAAGTAAAAATAGATGAAGTGCTTCGTCTCGTGTGTGACATAGCTGCCGAAATTCCGGCCCACGATACAGTGCCAGGTAGGGTTATATTTCTTGTCAAATTCCTACAAAAAGAGAGAGAAAGAAAGGTGGTACAAACTCAGAAGGGGAGTCACTGCAGTAGTTCCAGCACACACATTCAGTTGTTCCCACCCACCTCGTCAGTATCCAAGCCAACCCTGCACCCCAGCCCAGGGCCTCAGAGGCTCAGGTTCTAAGGCTGGCAACAACACTCCCACCCTCATCAATAATCAACACCACAAAGGCTCCATTATTCCTCGCAGCCAAGCCTCTAGCACTCTACACCCTGATCATCTCCCCATCCTCTAGTTACCCCACACCCAGACCTGCCCACCCTGACTCGTCAAGATGACAATCAGAAACCAGGACGGCACACAGCTAAGTGGGGTCCGGTCACCCACTGCCTCACACATTGCTAAGCCAGCATTCCACACAGAAACAAATGGGGACTAACTGCTGACATCCCAGGGAGCAGAGACTCGGCCCCCCGTGTAACATGCACGCTAATTCCCTCACTCTACAAACTATCCAAGCCATCCCCATGAGCACAGTGGGGCCCAGCCCACAGCTCAGTTCTAGACTGTGAAAGGACAGTCCCCCCACCCCCACGGCTGCCCCACGGCTCTCCTGTCACTGGATGCTCCACATACTTGTCTAACTTCCTAAAAGCGCCCACACCACACAATTCCAGGAGGCACTAAGGAACAAAGGAAGCCAAATTAACATCAATCCTAATTCTAGACTGTCTGAAGGAGAGCCATCATCACTTTCCTCTCAGGCTGAGAGACTAAGAATCTACTTTCTCTCTCTGGGTGGACTGGTGAGGTCATCAATCACGTATGACTGACTCTGTAGCCCCAGCCCCACACATAGCAAGGTCTCTCAAGATTCCCAGGTCTGATTCTACCCTTCAAGGGCAGGAAAACAAGAGTTCTGTGAGACTGGAACAGATTGCCCTCACACTCTTCACATACTTTTTAAAAATGCCAGCGCTTAGATGACCAATGACAAGGCCTATGGCTCTAGTTAAGACATGGGTCCTGGGGGCTGGAGAGAGGGAGAGCAGTGAGGAGCACTGGCTACTCTTGTCAACACCCTGGGCTTAATTCTCTGCACCCACACAGCGGCTCACAGCCACCTGTAACTCCTATTCCAAATAATCTAATGCCCTCTTCTGACCTCCACAGGGACCAAGTACACATGTGACAAACAGACATACATGAAAAGCAACACAGTCATACGATAAGGATATAAACAATACAGCTAGGTCTTGACTGGAAATTAGGAGCCCATGCTTACTCCTCTTCAACTGTCTCTTCAGTGTTAATAATTTCCACTCAGGTATTCATTTAGGAATTTTTCTTTTAAATATTTACATTTATTTGTTTATTTGGGAGTGGTTGAATACGCCACAATACACGTGAAGAAGTTAGAAGACAACTTGCAGGAGTCCATTCTCCCCTCCCACCATGTGAGCTTCCGGAATCAAACGCAGGTCATCAGGCTTGGCAGCAAGCACCCTTGCCCACTGCACCATCTCACCAGCCCCATTTAGGAATTTTTCAATAACCAAACTATTGTTGAACCATTTCTATAAATATTACACTGTCAGTTCATCTGTGGGTTCTATATCCATATAGTCAACCAACCATATATTTAAAATATTCAGGAAAAAAACACACCTATGTTGAATCAGAACAGATTTTCTTCTCTATTATTTCCTAAAGTCCCTACAGAAATCAAGAGTATGAATATTCAAGATCCTGGACCTTGACATATAGGCCAGGCTGGCCTCAAACACGGATCCGCCAGCCACGGCTTCCAGAGTGCTGGGATTAAAGGCGTGCCCCACCACGGCCAGGCTTCATGCTCATGCTTTTAAGAATGTAGGGAGGGGGTTGTTGAAGTTGGCTCAGCAGTTAAGAACACCTGCTGCTCTCCCAGGGACCTGGATTCAACTCCCAGCACCCATATAGCAGCTCACAACCATCTGTAACTCCAGTCCCAGGGGGTCTGATGGCCTCTTCTGGCCTCCACAGGTACCAGGCATGCACTGTGGTACAGAGACATACACATAAGCAAAATACCCATACACATAATTTCTTAAAAATAAGAGAATATAGGGAGAAGAGTAGTAAACATTGTAAAAATATGCAGACCCTAAGTCCTTTTGTAGGGAAAGGAAATGTTCCATATCACGAGGATTATAAAGGATACACCACTCTAAATGAAGACGTTCACTGAAAATCTGCTTAGAATCAAACAGTATTCATTCAAATGTTAATTATGAATATTGGATAATTCTCAACTGGGCCAGTAATATTAGTTCTGAAGCTTCTCCACGTAGTATTCCCTTCCCCAGTGCCTTGCAGTGGCACAATTATTTGTAAAACACACGCAGCTTCCGCAGCTCTTATCAAGAATCATTAAGGTGATTGCTTTGGCAATTCAGAATCACCCCATAATCCAGCTGTTTTACACATTTACAAGGTTTTGTCTGAAGGGCTACACCTGCTTTCTCAGAAACTGGCTGCCCCACCCCTGCCCTCATCTCGAATGTAGCTCAACTGTCAGTCCTCACGCTACAGGCTTACCTTCTTGATATAGGCAGCAATGTCCTTCTCTATGTTGTATTTCTCCATGGCCTGTGTGGCGCAGTCAACGGCATCCTGTTGCATGTCCTCAGACATGTCTGCGTTCTTGATCACTGCCTTGCGGTCAGACATCGTGACACTGCAGTAGGAACACAAAAGTACAGCTGACGACTTCTCAGTGTGGGCAGGAGGCTAAGCTACGGGGTGGGAGCCTCACGGCTAGAGAAAGGGGATTATAGAAGGTGGAAGAAGAATATGAAACACAGACGAGAGACATTAAGGGAAACAATGCTGGGCGAGGTGGAGCACACCATAATCCCAGCACCTAGGAGCCAGAGGTAGTTGGATCTCTGCGTTCCAGGCCAACCCGAGCCAAACACTAACTAGCTTTCATAGAAATATGGTCCTTACTTTTTGGAAACACAGGGCAAGTTAAAGAGAAATGTAGATGTAAGATGTCATGTTTTAAAAACACACAAAAAATGAATTCTCTAACTCTTAATAGCTACGTATTTCATGCACTCTGAACTGCAAGACAACGGCGATAACCACAGTGGTACAATAAATCCTCTAACTGTATCTTTCAGCAAGTTAATTTACCTTTGTGTTACGCCACAGGTCGTAAAATGGGGATGGCAGCGCTATCCTAAGGATAAAGCCAGAAGCTAACACCTGAAAAGATTAAGCGCATGATTGGTTTATTGACTATTACATACATTGGTCTCAAGGCAGACAACACCTGCTAGACATTAGTGTCCCTGATTTCTGGTCCTGACTCTGAACATTTGTGGTCTGGGCAAGTCATCTGGCCTTTCTGTATCGATTACCTCCATTTTAGCAATGAGGTCAGCTCTCAATTGGAGGTTGTTTAAGAATTAACTAAGGTTATATGAGAGCAGCTGCAAACTAGGAGAAGTCTCCACAAGGGGGCTGGCTGTCCATCAGCCAGACACAACCAACACCTGCTTTTATAAATCAAAGCTTTATAGGAATACATTACAGCAACAGAGATGAGTCCTAAAGACTATTCTGCCCATAAAGTCTAAAATACATTCACTATCCCTCACAGAAAAAAGGCCAACTCCACTTTGGTACAAATAAAAGGAGCTTCGGACACAAGGCCTGGTGGCAAGGATGTCACAACGACCTCATAAATCCTGGGGGCTGGTAGACCTCTAACTAGAGAAGCAGTCACATGCCGTCCTCACAGCCCATCCTTCTGCTTCCCCACTCCTTACTCCCATGTTCAATCTTTAAAGTGCAATACGATTTCTGAATTCTAGAATTTAGTCACAGCCAACAGTGACTTGTCATTTCTCTGAATTTTTGCTTCCTCACATGAAAATTATTTTTATCCACTCAAAAAGCATTAATGAAATAAAAAGTCCGAGAAATATCTTATTATCCTGACAGGAAAGCTAAGAACTTTCTCTTAAATAAAAACAGGGCCAGGTACAGTGATTCAGACCTGAAATTCTAACACTTGGGGGATAGCAGCAAGAAGATCAATGCCTCAGCTACCATGAGACCCAAGGGAAAACACAGGACCGAGAAAAACCTGTAGATGGACGAGGAGCATGACACAGACACATGAAGTCTAAGAACGGGGCTGGTAACATGTCATAGCCTTGTTTCATAGCTTCCTGGGCCACGGCACCATCCAGCAAGCAACCAGACTCCGAGGCTGATCCTGCACAGACCCTTTTACCCTGGCAGCCTCTGGGTACAACAACAGAAATGGGCCACTGTATCCTGCCCTGTCCTTGACCATTCTCACTGATCCCCTCACCTCACCTCCAAAAGCACCACTGGTTGTGATCCAGCCCAGGGGGAAAAGAAGATGCTGTTCCCTCTGAGCAAGTCTGACACGCAGCTACACAGGAGCCTGGCTGCTCAAGGAGAGATCCCTGGTATCATTCCACATTACCCACTGGGTAAGATAAAAAGAACTCAGACCATGGCTGCCAGGCTAGAAGCCCTTGACCGAACCCAAGGCACCTTTGCGTGACACTGTCAAATGAAGCAAGACCTCTTCCACTCAAGCAGACACCAGCTAGTGTTTAGATCAGAAGCCCCCACCTCCCTTTACCCCGGAAAATCTGGAGCATCCAAGGAGTCTGCGGTGGTGAAGAAAAGGTCAAGGGCTGCGGTTCAGAGGCTGACTATTCAATGACCTTGGGCAAACAATCACATTTAAAAAAACAATGGCTGGACTGAGAGAAACGGGGCGATCTCCAGGAGGTCTGAGCAAAGAAAAAGGCTGGTGTGTCGTCAGAGACCTTTCTAGAAACAACAATGTCACCTGGTGGCCTGTTCCAGGTTACCACTCAGAAGGGGGCACTGTTTACAAATCCAGAGGTTGGGGGTGGAGCCTGGCTACAGACAACGAAGTATGAAATTGGCACCATTTTGCCAAAAAAGCTCACCTGCTTCACTGCCTCATTCCTCAAGCCCCAAGGATCAACTCTGTCACAGTAATTAAAAGCTATCTTACTCTCCGAGAGGGAGCCTGCGATTACATAATGCTGGTCTTGTGACTACAAAGCCACGATTCTTCACCCCTGGCCCCTCAGGCGTCGCAGGAAGGTGAGGCCCAGCCCCAGCAAGCCCTATCCAAGGTGCCAGAGAGAAAAGGAAAAGGAGCTAGAAGCCCAGCTGGCCTTTCCCTCGGTGGGAGGGGGCAGCTGGGCCTCCAGATAAAAGGATGGCCAAAGGGCCCCAAGCCAGCTTCCTGAGTCACCAGCCAGTAGCTCCTGCGAAGACGCAAAAGGAGCTCTCCAGGACAGTTCTCATCGTCTGTCCCCGGTCTTGCGACAAAAGAAAAAAAAAAAAAGGCTAAACCTCAAATGACACGGAGCACCTTGCACCATTCCTTAACACGTAAAAGCGTTATCGCCTCCCTTTGGATTTCCAAGGGGGCCGTACTCCCCCCCCACACACACACCCCACCCCATCCTCCAGAGGACAGCGACCACGGGCAACATCTGGGAATTGAGAATGCATCGGCCGCCCCGCCGGGTCCGCAGGCCGCGGTCAGTCCTCCGCCCTCCCCCTCCACGCCTGGAGCAGCGCCGGAGTGACCGGGCGACCTCTCTGCAGGAAGGACGGCCCGGAAGGTGGCGGTGGCGGCGGGAGGAGCCGCGTCATGCCCGAGCCCTCTCCATCCGCTCGCCTCGGACCCCAGAGGCCTCCCTGCAGCGCAGGCAGGCGGCTTCTCCCCGGGGGTTGCGGGGCCTCCAGCCGCCGCCCGAGGGTCTCCGGAGCTCGGGCCGCCCCCGTGCCCCAGCTCACCGTCACGCAGGCGAGTCCGCACAGGCCCCTGGGGAGCAGCGCTGGGCTGAAGCAGAGCGCGGTCAGGGGCGGTGTCCCCTGGGCTCCTCCTGCAGCAGCAGCCGCTGCCGCCGCGGTGTCCCCCTGCTCCCGCAGCCCCGGGCCGAGCGCTCGCGCCGCCGTCCGTCCGCCCTCCGAGCTCCCTCGGCCGCCCGCGCTCCGCCTCGAGCCACCCGGCAGCCCGCCTGGTCCCGCTGGTGCCTCGCCGTCCGCTCTGCTCCGCCGCTGAGCCCGGCCGACGCGCGGCCCTGAAATAGAGCCCCGCCCCCGCCCCCCTGCCGCGCGCGCCGCCGTCCGCGCTCCCCATTGGCTGCGCCAGCCCGGCCCCGCACTGCGGGCTTCTCCCCGCGCCGCTCTCGCTCCACATCTTGTTTCCTCCCACAATGCCTCGGGGCGGAGGAGGGGGTGGGGAAGGGGGGAGCTGGAGAAGGTGGGGGGGAGGGAGCGGTGGCCTTTGGAAGAGGAGAAAGGAGGATGCCGACCCCCTCGGCTCAGGCCTGGAGAGGCCAGCCCGGGGAAGGTATAAAGAGAGGAGGACCAGAAAGGAAAAGAAAGAGGGGCGTGGAGACCCCAGTCTCAGGGAGAACGGAAGAATGGAGGGATGGAGATCTCAGACTCAGGAGGGAAGGCCTCCGGGTCCCAACTTTGCAAAGAGGCTGGGGAGGGCATGATAATCACCAGGGATGGGGGAAAACACAGGACACTATTTCCCTCGACTGGCAACACTTGTGATTGGAACAGCCAAGCCCCATGGTGAAGTAAAGGCATAAGCAGTCCTCAGGGGCCCCTGCCCTCACATTCTGGAAAGGTCTCCTGCTTCTAGCTCAGCCTTTGTTCACGAATCTCATGGCCATTCTCCCTAGCCATAGTTGGGGCCCTAGCCGCTATCTTCAAGAACAATGGAGGTACAACTTCTGCAGCTTATGTCCCTTGGATCCTTTGGGGGTAGAGGTGAGAACCATTTCCGGCCAGTCATTCCCACCTCTCCAGTTAAACAGGACCAGAGGGAACTGAACAGAACGCTTATGAGTGCTGAGGTGTCTTTAAAAACCTCTTCATTCCAGTGGTGGCGAACCTTTAATCCCAACACTCACTCGGGAGACAGAGGCAGGTGGATCTCTGTGAGTTCGAGGCCAGCCTGGTCAACAGAGTTCCAGGACCGTCAGAGCTACACAGAAAAAAGCCTGTCTCGAAAAACGAAAAACAGAACAACAAAAATGTAAAAAGAACACAGATTCAGACCCCTTACAAGGTCAGTTCCCTTGGGCTACAGTTGGGAAAATTCAGGCAGCAGACACTGTGGGGTGTGCTTGTGTATGTTTGTGAATATGTTCTCAAGGGTTTTGTTCATGGTATGCCAACCCAAAAAGACAGGCATCCAAGAAATGTCTTTCCCCCTCCAAACTGATTCACAAAGGGTCTATAGAAAGGGTGTGCATAATAGAGTCTCCAGCAGGAGGTCAGCCGCCCCGGCCACTCAGTGGATGTTAGCAAATTGCCTGGCACAGCTCCCGTGCCCATCTTTTTCTCTCCCTTGACCTAAACCATGAGCGAGAAGTCAGTCGCTCTGGCCTTAGCCTGCCCTGCCTGGGAGTATCATAATTGAGTGTTCATTATGTGTCAGACAAAACTTGGAAAATCGTCCCCTCGGGCTTCGACATTCCACAGCTCGGTCTTCTCCCACGTTCAGTTGTTGGGGACTCACCAGGCAAAGGCCTGAGGTATCCCTTCATTCAGGGGCATTCTGATGTCAGCCTGGGTTAATAAATGAGGGGTGGGGCACATGTGGGGAGGGGCCGGAGGATGAGTGTCCACCTAGGGCTTTTGTGGAGTAACTCTTAGGGACTTCTCAGAAAAAGAGAGCTTCTCTTTCCCCAACCTCCATTAGCTTCCAGCCCTTCCCAAGGTCTGAAGGTCACAACTGTGTGGTGTGGTTGTACAGGATGTTCACTTCTCAAGGACACCCAATGGGGGGAGCCTGCCTAACACTCACTTCCTGACGTGTCTTGGTACAGGCTGGCCAGCATTCAACCAAGTGGCCTTTTCTAGTGTGTACAAAAGCGATTATGAACTTTCATGGCCCTACTGTGTTCTCCCTACTCCTCTTGCCTGCAGGAGAGAGGAGAGAGATTAATTATTCCTAGTGTGGATTATAATGGAAACAGAGGCTAAAACTCTCAACAAAAGTCAGCCTAAGATTTGTGGCTCTTCAGAAATTTGGGTATTGGAGTGTGTGTGTGTGTGTGTGTGTGTGTGTGTGTGTGTGTTGGGTGAGACTTGTTAAAACGGTATGGTTTATGTTTGGGATGTAGCTTCAGTGGTAGACTGTGCGCTTACTCGGCATGCTCAAGGTCCCGAATCTGACCCCCCAAAGAGTAGTCTCGTTCACAGATAACAACTAACCTGTCTGGAACCCTCGCTCTGTGCCGGGTTCTAAGTGTTTCAAAAGTAATACATTCTCTACTACCACACTGGACTGGGTTTGAAGTGAATTATTACTGCCTCCCCTTTGGGTGAGCAGCTGTTAGTGTAGTTTGTTCTCTGCAAGTTTCAAGCCCAGCCTGTCCCAAGTGCTTACGACCTTAGCCGTTAGACAACTGGGCCATCTAACAGTGAACTCAAATTATAGAGGAGGGGCTTGGCTCTTTGCCCAAATCCTACCAGCATTTGTGAAACTTATCTAACTCCAAAATCCTTTCTCAAAACCATTTTTCCTGTGATGTCTCTTTACTAATATTACATATGTGAGTCTTTTGCCTGCATGTATATCTGTGTACCACATATGTACCTGATCCCTATGGAGGTCCGAAGAGAGTGTCAGATCCCTGGAAGTGGAGTTATAGATGGCTATAAAACACCATGTGGGTGCTGGGAATTGAATCTAGGTCCTTTGAAAGAACAACCAGAGCTCTTTTAGCTCTCCAATCCCCTCCAAAGTCTTTTTTTTTTTAAAGACCAGGTCTCACTACACGCAGCTCTGACTGTCCTGGAGCTCACTGTGTAGACCAGCCTGGCCTCAGACTCATGAAGACCTGTCTCCCTCTGCCTCCTGTGTACTGGGTTTAAGGGTCTGCATCACTGTGCCTGGCTCCATAGTTTTTTTTTTTTTAAATCCAAACATGAGTATCTCCAGGGACAGAGTTTAGGAAACTTGTCCTGTACTAATGAATGCTACTTATGCAGAATGCTCACTCCTTGGATAATTACTAGGCAGCGTTGCAACTATGATAATTAATATATTCACCTAACTTGGGGAAGTCTATTTGACGGAGCTGTTTGAAATTGCCTGGTTTCCTCTTTCTTTGCTTTCAGTCATCTCTCTGATTTAAAACAGAAGGGTTTGATTTTGCCTTCTTTGTGGGTCCCTTACCCTCTGTCCGTTTTGATCTCAGGGCTCCTCAGATCACCCCTCAACTTACAAGTTCCACCCATATTCCTGGTTTTTAACAATGGCCTGGAACCAGGACACACTTCTCATCCCCAGATTTCTCTACACAGGCCCTTCAGACTACACACACACACACACACACACACACACTGTAGTTCTTATCTCCATTTAAAGCCCGCTGCATAAGCCAGAAAGCAGGGATCCTCCCTGGGCTTGTATCTCCCCCTTAAACCCACTGCATACCCATCCATCACTGCTCGCCTCCTGCCTCTTTTGCCAGTACCGTACGTCCAGCCCACTCTCGCCCAGTGGCTCTCAAACCTTCCTAATGCTATGCCCCTTTAATACAGTTCCTCAGGTTGTGGTGACCCCCCCCCAACATAAAATAATTTCTTTCCTACTTCCAAACTGTAATTTTGCTACTGGCATGAATCGTGATGAATCTGATATGCAGGATATCTGATCTGCACCCCTGTGAAAGGGTCGTCCGACCCCCAATGGTCTGCTCTATAGTAAGAATCCATTAACAATGCAGACATTTCTCTCCTGTTCAGAATAAGGGCTTTGCCCTTTTCCATGGCATGCTCCCCTCCCTTCTACACACACACTTCTCTGTATGCCAGGTTTCCCCACACTTCCCATCTCATGCCTGCTGCTTCTCTAACACCTCAGCTGCCTACATTTCCCACATGCAGATTCCATACCTCTCTTCAAGTGGTTCTTTCCCCCTGAGACTAGTCGCTTTTCTGCCTGGCTTTCTCTCACATCTAGGATGCCGCCCTTCCCCAAATCTCACAAGGGATGTGTACTTGCCACAGACTCTGTGATGTCCGGGGCTCGTCATTATCTCTTCCTATTAAATTTATCAGTCTTAGGTTTGCCTGTCATTTCTTGCTAATAGGGGTCACATGTGATTTCTAACACAGAAGGACCTAACACAGTTCCTGAAGCAGGGGGGAGTTTCCTAGTTCTGGGCCCAACTGTGCTACAAATGAAACCTGTCTTAGAATGAGAGAGATAGGGAAGAAGGGAGAGGAGGGTGAGGGTGTGGAGGGGATATGAATTATATTAGGTAGACCTTGTCCTTACTGTCATAAAACTACACACTTTCTTATCTTCAGTATCAGGATGAGATAGGAACAGTGAGATGAGCTTCTACAAGATCTGCACAATCCTCTCCCCTCTCCCCCCCCCCCCCTTCTCTCTTCTCTCTCCAGTGCTGGAGCTTAAATCCAAGACCTCACACATGCCAGACAATTCGCTACCACTCAACAGTATCTCCTGCCCTGCCTCCTTATTTTTCATACTTTTTAAAAATTACTTTTTTTTTTCTGTTCTGGGCATCAAACCCAAGGCTTTGCCCATGCCAAACAAGAAAACTATCACTAAGCCGCACCCCCAGCCTTCTTTTGAGAGTAATTTTCAAAAACATAAAACCAAATAAACCAACCAGAAAATAAGCGCTTGGACTTGTCGGGCATAGTAAAATGTAGTTAAGCTAACAAAGAACTTGGGGGAGAATCTTTTCACTAGGAAAATGGAGGCCTATTTTACATTTCAACATAAAGTAACCCTCCTTCTTTCCACATTCATTCATTGGTGAGAACGTGTTACAGTGCTCACATGTGGAGGTCAGAAGGTAGGTAGCTAGTTCTTGTCCATCTGATACAAACTAAGTTACCTGGGACGCTCAGCTAAGGCATGACTTCCATCAGATTGACCTATGGGTATGTCTGTGGGTCATTTTCTTAATTAATAATTGATGCAGGCTGGCCAAGCCTACTGGGCAGTGCCACCCCTGGAAGGTGGCCCTGAGGAAGTCATCGGGAGCAAGGCAGAAAGCAGTGTTCCTCTATGGCCAGCTC